TTTTCCGAGATAAGGTCTATAATTCCTCAGATATATGCCATGCCATAGATAGCTCCAGAATCTTATATCTACTCGGAGCGTGGTCCTTCCAAAATCGAATGATGCTACTCTCGTGCCGCTTCTTTATTAGGCTTTTGCCTCTATATATTGAAGCTTTAATACGTGTAGTTGTTTCGCTCCAGGCCTATTTGGCTAATACGTCTGTACGCTCATTTCCTTTGATCCCTGCATGATTTAGGACCCATTATATTTTCACCGTGCCTTCTCCCTCTCTCAAAGATTGCACTTTACTATTCTAATTTTCTCTCAGTGCCTGAAATTCTGCAATCTTGACCGAGCTGGATGGGCTTAGGTACCTAGTTTGTAATCGTAGTGCCGCTTCTTTATTGTCAAGATTTACAACAATATTTTTAGCGTATTTGGCCATAAAATTTGCCTTGGCTGCTTTAAGCCCCTCAACTGCCCCAATAATCTCAGCATCAAAGACTTTTGCCGTCCAACCTAGGGAAATTTTCGCATTTTTGATTTCTGAGTTTGAATCCTGATAGATACAGTACGCACTCCCTGCCTCTTCTTCCTCTTTTATTGCTTCATTTGAATATTTAAAAAGATCTAACAGATTATACCTCTGGTTTTGTTCCCAATTTCGATATTCTGTCAGACCTTTCTCTCGATCAATAGCTCCAATCTCTTCCTTTGCTTTACTACTATCAATACTCATTCAAGGAGAGGTGATAGTTTCGAGCGACGGTTCAATCCTTTGACGGCTCCAGATCCATAGAAGATGCTTTGTATTCCAACATCTTCGTAAGGCGTGCTTAGGGTCAGCCGAGGCAACTCTATTCACAAAGCGATAGTGTAATCTTTCTAGCCAGGAAGTCGCTGGAGCCCATCCAGTTTCCCGCAAAAGGTCTGGGACGGGGGTAGTTTTATACATTGGTAATACAGCTCGAGCCGCTCTATTAATTTCTCCTAGGGCTTGATCTATTGCCCACTTGGACGTTTTTGGTCCATACCACGTCTCAGCTCCGTAGAAAAGTAAGGCAAAAGCTATACCTTGGAGAGCTTGCCGCAGAAGAGTAGGTTGGGCGCATTTCACGGTATTTTTCAGTCTCTTGACGTGATCAGTCACCACACGACAGCGCTGGTAGTGTGGTGGTTATGAGCTGTGAGGTGTACGTCAATTATGACTCTGTTGTCCGTCGATGGAGTGATACGGGCTCATGTGAAATGGTGAGTCACGGAGATGGCACGCTCACGCTGGGTGATGCCACAATGGGCACCGAGTGCGTATTACTGTGGCTAATGAGTATCAGTGAGTATTAAATGTGAACTCTTACTGACAATGGTGATCTATGAAGGTGATGCTAGATGTGTATCCCGAAGATTGATAATATCATCTAACAGATGATGTGAAGAATAATATTCTTTGGATAGATTGGTTCAATAAGCTCGGCAGGTGAAGAGATTGTATGGTACATGAAAAGCGTCTATGCACTAGCCTGTATTTTCCACTCTTTCCTAATAACTCAACCGAGCCAGCACAACAGGCAGGCTCGCTGTATATGTTCCTTGAATGATAGCTTCCTATCAAAGACTGTTGTGTCTAGACCCACATAGCTACAGTGCACAGCTCCAGTTATGATGGTCACGCGACTGCATGCATTTGCTCTGTTTGCTCCTGCTTTGTTGAGTTAGTATAATTAGTAAGCAATAGCCTAGGGACTATAAGTAGAGAGCTTTCCTCCACAGTAGATAGAGCAAGCAATTAAGTCTTTCCTCATTCTACAGAGATCATTCTCCACTCCTCTTCTTGACCTATCCGGCCCAGCAGCACATCTGTGATCACTAGCAGCGAACTCCCATAAATTGTACGTACACCCGAATCATAGACCTATCATAACAAAGACTATCCCAAGCCAGCGTGTGTGATCATTCGGAAGAACTAAGGTGTCCTCCATCATTAAGGGAGGTTCCTGAAATTTTCTTCTATTATGAAATTACTGGAGCTCAGTCTTTGTCATTTCAAACTGAATACCCTTGTCCTTACCTCACTATAGAGTTCAAGATTCTGGCCTGTTTAGGACATTGCAATATCATCTGCATAGCCAATACATCCGCGTGCAAGACGCATGACCGGTTCTACAAAGAGAATAAAAAGAATGGGTAATCTTGGGGACCTTTGTGTTAGGCCACATAGAATCTTAAAAGGGTCTGATACTTCTGTCGAGTCTGATTCTTACGGAACGGTTCTGAAAGAAGGAGATCAACCTTTGCACTATGTTCTCCGGCCATCTCTGTTACGGCCTTGTATTCCTGACCCTCAGGGCCTCTGATGCTATTTTTCCTTTCGGGTATTGTGTTGTGATCCTATATACGCACGGACTAATTGTAAATTATGTATATATGTATATCTCTAGATACCTCTTGTTATCTTCTTCCCTTAGTTTAGAATCTTATGAATTATATTCCAGATCTGAGTCCTTACCTGATTCGACTTGTTCATCTGCTAATCTGTGCTCCCTTCTGGTCGTCACAATCCCTGAGTCCTCATTTGTAGAAGGAGTCGGTTTCGCAGCACCCCATCAAAGGCCCCTTTCATATCAACGGTTACAAGTCCTGCAATTTTCCCCTTCCGGAGTGCTTCCTTAACATAACATACCAATGCTGTGATTAAATCTGTAGCTGACCGTCGGCTAACTGCACTACACTGGTCCCTACCTAGAATATCAAACTTCGAGGAACAGAATGAGAGATGCCGTGCGAAGAGCCGTTCAACTGCTTTTCCAAGACAGGAAGGAAGAGCATTAGGTCGGTAGGATTTTGGTAGTGTTCGATCCCGTTTTTCAGGTTCTGGTAAAATAAAAATATTTGCGCGCTTGAATATCTTGGGGTGTACCATGTGTACTGCAAATTTATTGAAAAGTAAAGTGATTCGCTCCCCCAATATTGGCCATGATAGTCTAATAATATGAGCAGTAGTTTCATGCTCCTCTAGGGTGATTGAAGATGCCTGACAAGTTGAGCGGAACGATTCTGCTCCGAAGAATATATGCCAAAAAACACGCCTCGCGGTTACTGAGGGAGTCTTTTCTGGGACATAAGTTGCCTTCACATGTCGAGAGAGAAGCATTTTAGGGAGTAGTTCTTCTTTCTCATTTAGACCCTGGATATTGGCCTCTTCTTCTGGGCCGCTTAGTGGTGATGTCAGGTACTTGGGCGGCGTGTTATGCCAGTTCACAATCTTATATACTTCTGGGAGAAATTCCGAAATCTCGATCCTTGTAGTCCAGTACGCTTTGTTCGCACGTCTGACGGCATTTTGGTGCTCTTTTTGTTCGAATTCATCCTTTCCCTTCCGTCTTGCTACGTAATATCTACGAGCTGCGAGTTTTTAATCTTTGTTCCACTAGACGGTGCCATGGCTTTTCTCTCTGGCGCGATGTTAGGCAGCTTGGAATGCCGTTCGGTTCACCTCCACGATATTTTCCGCCTCTTTTTCGATTTTGTCTGCTTTCGAAAGTTCTGGGGGTCCCAGTGGCATCTCAATAGAGTTTAAAGTCTTGCCTCGTTGATTGAGACGTGCCATAGTCACCTCTCGCTATCTTCATTTGCATTATGGTCACCAGTTAAGGTAGTCACCATTGTTTTGTGATTGTATGTGGTGTGAAGGTCAGAGGGGATCTCACATTTAGCTCCGGCTAGAGAGGAGAAAGCTAGATCTAACGTTCTGCCGCTCTTGTGTGTCGAAATTTCGGTTGGGTCTAAGAGAATAAGTTCTTTCTCTCTTGCCCATTCTAATAAAGCTGTGGCCCCTTAAGAAGCGTATGTAGCATGCAATTCCCTAGTTAGGTGTCGCAAATTAAAATCACCACTGACAAATTCAGGAGCAACAAGAAATTCGATCAATGTTTTGAGGCCTTCGTCCGCTGTCATTGACCCAGCTGAAGCGTTGTACACATTCTATACAGCTATTATCCGACCTCGCCCAGTGGAGATAACTAGCTGCAGTAGGTCTGGAGAGGTATTAGTTGCAGTTTGGTATGAGCGCAATCATTGTGAACTACTAATGTAGGTTAGAACTCTGGGGAGGGTGTGCAATTTGTCGAGTGGTAAAAAAAGCGTAAATTTTGAATGTCAAATTGGCCTTTTTGCTACTAGTTTTTTTGATATCCAACATTTCTGTATCAGTAAATCTTCAATATTATTTACGTGTACGGGCTGGAGAGCCATATTGTGCGCATAAGCTCCACTTCCAACATTTACTTGCAGGATTCGGTGTCACGGTTTCAGTACAACATGCTTGGACGATCATATAGGTACAGTATATTAATTATAATTCTCTAGAGAGACAATTCCTATAGCTAGACTACAAATATATATACACTCTGAGATACTCCCCTCCTATAAGGTTCCCCCTATTACTAGAATAATATGGAATCTTCGAAGATTCCCTAGAAGACTCTCGATATGTCTGTCATCCTCATGAACCTTCAGTATACTTCCTGAAGGTTCATTAAGAATCTTCTAAGCTCCGTGTATCCCGAGATCCTTCCCGAAGATCCCCGAAGATTCCCTTGATGTCATTGCCTGCGCTAGCCAGCGTAGGCTACAGGAATTCTTAGGCTTAGCAGCCGTTACATTCGCGTTGGTCTAGTTTTTGAATTATTTTGTCTTCTAACCATATTTAATGAGTAGGATTGAGTTCAATGGGGGTCTCAGTATCCCTTTCAGCTAGTACATGAGTAAGCGTCGAAGTGTTGGGAAGCTCTCTGCGCCCAGCGTTACGTATGTGTCGCAACTGTGCCCCAGTTGGGCTAAAGAATACGCCACGATCTCTACGTAGACAAGCTAGACATGAAGCATTAGCGGAATCGGGAGGGCCACCGCAACTATAGTTTTTTACTTGTCTTGGGCATGAACCTTCGTGGGAATCTATTCTGCATGAGATACATTTGAACTGGCGGGCGCAGTTTCTCTTGGCGTGGAAGCCAAAAAATTTATCGCAGGTACGCAATTGCTGCCTGTTTGAGACTCGTTGGACGCTTAATATATTTTATTATAATTTAACGTCGTTCGTTGGATTCTTGTGTTGAAGTATCAGTCACTGAGCCTTAGATGACATGTGACTTGATTTGTAAGCTGGGCTAAACTAGGGTCTATAGAATGTATCGTAAATGTAGAACTTAGTAGTTAGGACAATAGTATATACGAAATAAGCTTTAGGCATTTACCGACAGCGCAGTTTTCTGACCATATATTCCTTCAATAGCTTGTTTCTTGTCCGAAAAGCTGTATCTAGGATGGCAATTTTTGTGCCCTCGCATCAGGTACGTGAATTCTGATCGGCCCAAATGGGCTCAGAGTCTCTCGACCGAAATCTTCAGGCTTTGTGTCGAATCGGAGTAACATCTATTACAGCTCGAATCACAGACTCCTCTAGTAAAAGCCTTTCAAGTGGGTCATAGGCTCCGTCTAACTTATTAACTTTCTTTGAAATATGATTGACAACAAATGTCGTTCAAATCTCTTTTCCTTCCACCTTGGTATTCCCAGATCTTACAGCAATGGCTTCACTATGCTGTAAAATGCTAACCGTATTTGCCGACGATGCGGCGTGATGGAATGAAATAACAATTATTGTCGAAAGGTAATTCTAATTGTTGTGCACTAAGCCTGGTGCATCTCTCTGTTGCTGAGTTATAACCTTGATGTCTCAGCTCATACCACGGATAACATGTTCGAAGTGATCACAGATAGAGAAGATAGATTAGATTTTTATTATAGTCCCTACTGAGTCTAAGACTACGGAGGACTTTGTGAATCCAACTAAAGATTCTAATTACATTTGAGAAATTTAAATTTGAAATATGCCAAAATTTGTTCCTGTAGATATTGAGGGTCAAGTCCTTAGAGAAGATAGACACAAGACATAATACACTTTTTGATACCTTTCGCTTTGCACTGAACTAACCCTACGTAAACGTATATTTAGGCCAATCGACTATTGTTATGTTGACAAAATGTTGAGTAACTAGGGATGTTGTATAGAGATATGGCGTTGGATTGGGATACCCACGGAGGTTTGGCGTTATGGAAGCACTGACGATATTTTCATTACTACTCGCTCATATCTCATTATAAATGTAGTTTGTAGACTGAGCTTTGCACTTTAACTTTATTAACATGTTGGTATGACAGAGGTCATGCACTAAAAGTCTGTTGGTTCCCTTAAATTTATTAGAGTACTTGTGTAAGTATTTCGAACTATCGTTCAGAAGAAATGCGCATTCATGGCTCATTCCTTATCAAGTTTACAATGATGCTCGAGATATTAACTACGTTGCGGTCGGGTAAAGTATTATCCGAATGACGAAATCCACAACACGAAGGAAATCGTTTGCAGGTCAACCAAGGACCACCAACTCCAAGTAAACCAAGCTAGAGATGCTGTTCCAACATAACCTTCAAACCTTAAGTTCTTGCTTGCCATAATCAGCTTGTCATAACACAAAGACTTCATGAAATTACAATACACGTTTCCTTTCTATATACATCATCCATAGTCCACGATTGATCCAGCTCTGTAGAGCCAATAATAATGTCTTCTACTCGTGTTCTAAATGGAGCGAATAATCTGTCTTCCTGTCTCTTGCTAAATATAAAGGTTAATGTTACGTGACTTGGGTCATCGAACACAATATTGCACGCAGATTTTCCGCCCAACTGGCAACCACTAACAGTCTAATGAATGTATGACCCATACATTAATTACCTCGTAATGATCTTGTATATTTTAGGTCTCAACGGCTAGCATACATCGTAATGCAACAAGGGCTTGTTCTTTTGATGGGAGAGATCGTCGGATAAGAAGATAGATGCCTAGTTTTCGCGTGGATTGATATGCATGGTGCTCAACGTCGGCCATTAAATGACAGCTGTGGACGCGTAGGGAAGAATACTGATAGATTTTAGTCTTCTCTCTCCCAACCCAAATTGTTTTACAAGGAAATATTTTTCTACTTGCGTCCCGAACTTACTGTTGTAGCTTTGATTTTCACAGCATAGCCTTCGTTTGGTGCAGTAGCGTGATAATTCAGTACTGCTTTCATCCCAGTCATACCTTGAATTAGGTTTGTAATTCTTCTTTTTCTCTTCAGTCTCCTTCTGATGGGCTCCCTCAACTTCTATACTCGATCGAAACAACTCCCGCCATGATTCTTTTTTGGTCCACTTCGAGATTCTTGTCACATGCTCTGGAGGTATCATCACGGTCTCGAACTATCGATCAATTGCCTACTTGTGGACATGTATTATGCGTGTTTCCCATTCCAGATGGGATAATTTTTCACACTTCATTTTTGCGACAGATGCGTGCATTGACATGTAGGATTTACTATTCCGACGATCCCTCTCCGATACATGCCAGCGAAAAACAAATGGCTCGCTCCTGGCTCTTCGAGCAATGTCGTCCCAGCCTTCCTCCAGATTTCGAGATATTTTTGTTCGTGTACTCTGACAATTCAGTAGGCCTCTGACCCTACTTTCCAGTAAATTATTGCTGTAATATTACTGCAGAGTTCCTGTTGTTAACGAGAGCCAATTAATTTCAAGACGTCTCTGGACCTACAAACTTCATCCACACAGATATGCCAAACTCTGCATGTTGAAAACTGAAACCCCTATAAGGCTGGACCAAAGTCATTAAGAATCTGGTAATTTGTGTTCTCAAATTCTCTCTTGCATCGGCAAGAGAAGTTGTCTTGGTAGGTTGTGAGTGCACGTGCTGGCATATTTAAAAATATCTGGAAAGTAACACCTGCCATCGGCATACTGTTGCCGATATGACAATTCGCAAGAAAGTCTTGCGAGCCAATCTTTTATAATTTTGCACATTCTTCGTTCTAGGAGTAAAGTCTAAGGTCGGAGCCCCGAGTTACTATGGGGTACGAGACGGCCGGAGTCAGTTGTAACAACAGGATAATAGGATAATTCTTTTGTATTTTGTAAAATGCTGGCGAATTTTGCTAGTGGACGTTCTCCCGCAATTCAAGGTAAAAGCTTCTTACATGCTGCCACAAACCCGACTGCCTGACTAACACAGGCCTCGTTATGTCGGCACTTTCTAGCTATCTTGGACTCAACAAAGAAGCGTAGGGGCAACTCTTTGGGAATGGCGGATGAGAAAGACATCGAGATGTGTGGAGCTCGAATCAGCGTCAGTATTGCTGCACTAGCGGATAAGGATATGATTTGACTGTTGTGCCGAACCCTTTGGACATGCAGAAGCCGAGTCTGTGCGCTGAGTGTTTTGGGAATAGGATGGCCCACAACCCTTGGGATGCTACAATACAAGTTAAATACTGTCACTGGTAGAGTAAAAATTCAAAGTTAAACAAGGTTATAAACCTACTCTAACGTAAATCTGTATTTATATTTAAATATTTATTTACTGATGAGACTGACGGGACAAAGAGGAGACTTCTGGATATCTTCATCGCTCACTTGGATCGCGGAGTCTTGGAAAGCAATAGATAGGTTTGATGCCATCGGTTGCAGCATTGGTGTGTCCCGTCAAGTTGTAGGAATTGCAATCTGCACTTTTTCTCTTGACCAATGTGGCTGCGTGCATCTTGCCTGAACTAAGTTCTGGAGTGCAGGTAGGAGCCCACGTTTCTGGTCCAACTAGATTCCATCTTTGAGTCCGTCTGTATCATGAATAAATTAATGAATATTTATTCGGGACAGGCACAAGCCCTGCACTCAAAAAGCATGACTCGGCGAAGGCTAGTCCTTCCACAACAACTACATACGCAGATAACTCAGTTTATTACTTGACCCACCAAAATAGTGGTTGCATTCACGGATACCACTCGATGCCTTTGTGCAAGGACCTCCCACCCTTCCCTCAACCGTTGATATCCACCAAAGAGAAAAATGGAAAACCTTTGGCTACCCTAACATGCCTTTGCCATTTTTGATACAACCGCCACGCGAGGTGTGGCCTCGCAGCACTCCCTTTCTCGAGTGGTGCAGGCGTCCAGGCCACTCAGAATTCAGTTCGGGTAGATGACGACCAGGAGGTGGACGAGAACATCTTCAGTCGTTGCCTGTCTTTAGAGTGTCGGTTGCACTATCTGAAATCGTTACCTCGGCGCCCACAAATACCTCAAAGTTGAAAACACTCAAAAAATGTGCGTCCCAGCATGTCCATTGGTGACCTCTTCACTCGTTCGTCCCATGTCCCAGCTGCCTATCCTCCCTCAAGATGTGAAACCCCATTAGAGCAACAGTCCCCCACAGAACAAGACCCGAGCTTTGTAGATTATGACTTAATTTCCTCCTCGCATGTATACATAACATCGGAGCTTTCCAGTGGCAGATAGCCGATTGCAATTATAGTAACGCCATTACGAGAAGTGAATGAGTGTGTGTGTTTATTGTACTACTTGAGTCTATAACTATCAAGAACATTAGGCTCCTCTCTGACCCAAGCCACACCTTGTACAGTGCTCCTATCCTCTTTTGTTACTTGAAAGGTCATTGATATATTCCCCTTGATGAATAGCCATTCAGCTCAGTATTTACCCGTGGAATTCGGCCACCTTTTTCACGGAACCTTCTGCACAAAAAGAATAAAAATGGTAGCAATGGAAACTGCGTGCGCGGGAAAAAGTCTCAAAAAACCTGCAGCCCCAGCCAGGCGAGGCCTAGACACCGGGACCACATGAGGTGCGCATATTCATCTATATCTCCCTTCTTTGTAACAATCCAGGCCGACTTGATCCAATCAACCATCGCCGTATCGGGTGCTGGGTACGCTCCGGAAACTCATCGGATGACTTTACCTCCATGATCAAGGGTTGGTGATGAGTAGGGCTCCGACCCTACAATCTGATCTGATCGTGGTTAGCTTCATGATAGTGGTGATAGGGGAATGTGTTGAGAGATGAAGACGATACAGACCGCGAAAGCGATTGGGAATCCTCGTCGAAGTGAGGACTTTGTTACTCAATCTCGGCTCTGCAGACTCTACAGTGAGAGCTGGAGGTTCGTAGGGGACACCACTGACAGGTGTTGGAATAGTCTCACTTACGAGAAGTGAAGGCGAGGTGGTGTAGGAAGATTATGGTAGAGGACTCTCGTGAGAATGACAAGACCGACATTGATGAGAAGTCTTCGATGATAGATCGAAGTTTGTTTACCTTCAACTTCGATTCGGATGCGATTCTTCTTGGCTATCCCAGATGTGCAGAGTATACTGAGCGATTACACCGGCACCACTAGAAGATGAAGAATTCGACTTTGTCGGCATTGAGGAAGGTAA